TTTCATAATGATCTCTAACCTTCAGTCGACACTTAAAGATCTAAATTCGTATAGTTGTTGAAGTATACTGAATTTTATGAAAATCATTCAGTCTATTTGTTGCATCTTTACTAGTTTCATTAGAAAGTTTGAAAGTGAAACTAACTTGTGTTACCCTATTACTTTAACCATAGTAGAACATTAAACACCAGATGTAAGATAACAACTAGAAAGATAATAGTAACTCCATTTTTTCCATTAATATGAGTAAAACTTAAAAACAAAATATTCAAACATTCATTAAAACAGCCACTTGGAGTGATCTAGTTAAACATGCAAAATGTTATTAATAGTTACAGAATTGAGGAAAAAGACAATTGCAGTTTAACCAATACTTTATTTATAACAAACATAATTTTTACCCATAAGGGCATTAGCAGATACAAATTGAAAAAAAGCTTGCAAACAGGTAAAAATGCTTTAAACAAACAAAAAAAAATGGTTTGGAACCTTGACATACAACTTAAGGTAGTAGGGAGGAGTTCAAGTTGACCTAGTCATTGAGAACTTTGTCTGAATTTGTTTTTAAGCTTCCATCTGTTTCTAGGGTTTTAAGACTGTATAGTATTTACCTTTTTTATATGTAAAATTTTGCAGTTTTGGGAGGATTAAGTTAGTTTTTTCCTTTCCATAAAATGTGATGTAAAACATGAGTCTATTTTCCCCAATTTCTAGCTGAAAAAATGTTTTTAACTCATGTTTCTAAGGATTATCCTGTCTCTCTGACCATGGTTCTGTTTATATAATTGGTCATTAAATTTGAAGTAATTCTGATCTAAGTAAGTGGTTATTATTGTTTCGAAATCCTAGGCTATTATAGGATTTTTGTTTTCTTTACCCAATAAATCATATAATTTGTTTACATTCTTTAACAGGTACACTAGTAAAAAAGACTACATATGCTAAACAAAATTTTGGCATTATTTGGTATCTATAGTTTTGATTATTTATAAAAGCTCCAGGGAACTTTTTTTGCTACTGTACTTAGGTTTGAAACTGATTATAATCTTGAAAATATTGTATGCTTTCTGTGCTAATTAGCAATTGGGAATATTAGTAAAGGTAAAAAAACGATGTGATAGAGATATTCATTTTGTGTAGTTTAGGAAGTACATACAGATGTGGCAGGTTCATAACACTCAACAACATGTCTTAATTATCATTACATATGGTTTTGTTCTTCTTCAGAATAGACTTGATATCATTGTTAAAGTTTTTGGTGGCATCCTTATTTAGGAATGTGAAACTGTTAGATTCAAGGAAGTTATTGATTTACCATTATTATCTTGTTTTTCAAGTACAACAGTCATATTACCTTTGTTTGCTTTCATAATTATTAAATTATCATTCTCATTTTTAGATTTAATTAGTTTGGATTCCTCATCTCAGTTTTCACAGTTAGAAAATTTTGTTCTCATAATAATAATTTGTTAGTAAATATTTTTGCCATTTTTTGTTTTAAAAATAGTAAAGCTGATAGTTAACAGGCATTCAGTTATTTGTCATACAAAATGTTTCAGTTTATTTATTAAAATAGTGTATGTGGACTAATAACTTTGTTTACATACATTTCCTTGTGTTTAAGAATGTAACTAAAATTTTTGAAAGTAATAGTTAACAATAGAACTTTTTTAATATTTTTTCTGTAGCTGCTAATCAAGCAAGGGAAGAATTTTCTAAAGCAGAACATGAACATAGACGGATAAGTGATGAAATTGGGTAAGATTAAATCTTGAAAGGTTAAACTTTTGGTATTAATTTGACATTATGTTAATTGTTTAATGATATTTTTTTTTATTGAGGCTAAAGTTAAATTCTATTTTCATCTGTATCTAAATTCAAAATGAACAGAAAGATAAAATGTTCATAAATTTAGTTCTTTATCATAATTCTAAAAATTGTAAAAGGCAATGTTGAAACATATTTATATAGAGTAATTTTTTCTATCTAATCTAGTTTAAATGGGGAATAAGAACAGTTATCAGTGGTCACTAAAAACAGGATACTCAAGGTGAATAATTTAACTACTGCATTGTTAGAATTGTAAGTGGTGAAAATCAATAACTGTACTTAATGTAATTATAGATTACAAAATGGTCATTGCTACAAAAAATATGAAATATGTGTGTATTTGTCTTACTTCATGAAATAAAGGTTTCTCTTTGTTTTGATCTACTCTTGTTAGTGTTATTTAAATATTATGATGCTGAATTTCTAAATGATGATTTTATTTTTTCCCTAGAAATATCGAGCAAGTTCTGGAAGTGGACTTTGGTCCAGAAGAAGAATTTGCTACCTTAAAAGGTCAATGTTTCGAATTCACGGATCGAGAATATATTTACGCTTTGTGTCCTTTTGATCGAACTTCTCAAAGACCCAAAGCTGGTGGTTCAGATACTAGCTTAGGGTAAGTTAAGTTCAAGAAAGAGATGTCAGTCATAGTTAATTTATATCTGAATTAAAAGCAGTTGGTTCAAAAATTAGCCTATATTAGAATTCTAGTGTAGTTACTTCATACATCATCAAAGTCTGAGATAGTAGATTATAATGTAAGATTTAAAATAGCTACTTTGTACACTAGTAATTTAAAATTTAAGTTGAAAAAAGATCAAGACTGTGGCTTGGTTTATTTTCCAACCAATTCTAACCTGGAAATGGCTTTTATTTTATTTTGTAAACTGCTATAGCTATTGGGGCCGATGGATAGGACCTGAAGAGAACAAATATTCCAGGATGAAATTTGAAGGAGGTGTGACTTGTTGGAATGGCCCAGCTCGCTCAGTTGTGGTAAATTTACATATGATTTACTTTTTGGTACTAGTATATGTATGAAAAAACACCCTTAATATTGCAATATGTATTTTTCTTTTGCTTAAAGGAACTTTGTATTAAGTTCAGATATAAGGAATATTCTATATATTATTTCTGAAAATTTTTATAGTTGTTATGGTATAAAATATTTAAGCTGGCAAAAAACGTTTTTAGGTCCAACAAAACTAATGAAAATTATGTTTGATGCAGATATTTTTTTTAATACTTAGAACAGGTCTACTTTGTTCAAGTTTTATCAGTTATAATTTGAAATCACAAGATCAATATTATTCGGGCTTCATATTCATTCCCTGATGGGTACTAAACAACCTATTTTTCATGTTAAAGTGGAACCTTCCGTTGACATTTTGTAAGTAAAATGTAGGGTTGAGTATATTATATTAAACTGATTTTGGATCCTCACTACTTCGTTACATCCGTATTGCCTTGTGAAGCCATGCTCAATCTGATGACCATGTATGTTGATAATAGTCTGGAACTTTATAGTTTCTGTTATTTTCATTACAAAAGGCTCTCATGCCCAAAACACAACTCCTCTCTGCAAGCTTCTCATAATTTATTTAGAATATATAGACAACTGTTTCCCAGCACCTGTTTTAACAGAGTGATCACACAAAAATCCATAGGCACTGCTGCATTGGGGCAATTTGACTAGTATTTGTTTGTATGGAATAACACAAATACCCATTTCATTCTCCAGTTGCTTATGGCATGTAATGGTTGAGTGGAAGATATGACAGGAAGTCTTATTTTAGTAAACACTTACACTATTGGCTTTTTTTTTTCTGTAAAAAAGCTGGTAATTCTGTGTGGCATAAAGGATCTAGAATATTAGTGTGACAGTAAGCAGAGTTCACTCTCTTGATCTTTGACTTTCTTCTGGTGTTATATCCAGCAATGATCATGAATCCATTCAAAAAGGCTTTGAGACATGCCTTGTACCTCTTTTGGAAAATTGTTCTCCCTTTCACTGGTAAACTTGTTACTGTTATCAAGGTACACATACACATCATTAAGTACCACTATTTACTATCATCCTTCTCCGACTAGGTATCAATCATACAGTTTTCTACAGTTGGTCTTCCTATTTCTGGGGATGTCATGCATACTGTTACTTGGGATACATGGATGGCTTGTGCCACTAAACTTTGTGTTTGTAGATTCTCATTTGTTATAAGATGAAATACTTTGGTTGCTATGTGGTAGGGTACATCTTGTTGCAGTCTTTTTCTAAAATGGTCCTGTGTCCAAAGTTGATCCATATCCTCTTATTTTTTTATGATAAGGCATATCTGAATCAGGGAAATTCTAAATCCCCAATCTGAGGATATGAGTATTTTGTGTCAGAATTTTTGATAGAATCTCGCTACCTATGAAATCCTGCACAATCAAAATGTAGTTCTGGTATGTACAGTTCATCTATGACTATGTTGGCTGTGGTTGTCAGACGACTTATTGATTTGCATATTAATTTTTTTTTAAATAAAAGTAACTGAACTTTCCGTACAACTTGTTACTGTAAAATTAAACAAAATGTCACATTGGTTTTTATTTTTGGTTATATAGGTAAATCTACATTGTGGAGTTGAGAACATATTATCTGCTGCTTCTGAGCCAAGCCGGTGTGAGTACCTGTTTGAATTTACTACACCTGCAGTGTGTTTTACTCCTCCTAACCAGATGGATGACACAGAACATGTACATACAGAACTATAACTCATATCTGTCTTTATCTTCACAGATCTTTAAAGAAACATCAACGATTGCCAAAATTCAGTCATTATACTGCACTGGGAATAAATCTTTTTCAGTGCAACAGGTTTACAAAAAAAAGATCTATACCATGTAATGATCTTCAAGCTGCTTAAATAGCACATACAAATCCGTTTTTGCAAGGAAGGAAAGAATTACCCATGTTCATTCATCAGTTGGAATTGGTTAATTATGATTGACAGAGAACCATGACACTAAATACAAAGTGTGGATATAAATAAATGAAAAAAATCTGGAGTTATTATTAAACTCTAAAAAAACAGAAGCAAATGTTTGTGCATTACTTTTATTATGGAAACATTTTGTACATTTGTATTATCACAATGAGTCAGAAATCTTAATTAGAAGGAAAAAAGATTGTTTTCATACACTAGTTGTTCTTTATACCTAAAATAGTTTTGAGAAATTTTTTTCTGTTCTAATAGAACAAATTTATCTTAAAATAAATGTCCATATGTGTTCTGTTTGGTTATAAATTAAAATTTTAGATTTTCTGGTTTTTGATACATAGTAGTTTCTACTTATTTAGATATTACTTTATACATATCATAAAATCTGAAATTACATACCTTCATGGCTGAACACATACACAAAATCAAAGAAAAAGTTATAATATAAACTTTATGTGCCTTCACTTAGAACATATATGCATTGTAATGCATTTTTGTTTATCACCTAATTTAAATTTCAAACTTGCACTGATTCATTTATGAAAAATTATGTTGGCTTGTTGCTATTGAGTAAAAATACTTTAAGCTGTTTGATTTATTGAAATGATATGTTTGGTACCTTTTTATATTGATTAAGGCTTTTAATTTTATCTGTAATACATTCCACTATGTGCTGTCAATAAATGGTTTTACAGTGTCTGAAAAAGTGGTAAAATATATTACATTTTAGTTAACTTTAGAACTTATAGAAATACACTATTATTTCTGACAGTAATTAACATATCCTTCTGTGGGCCACTGCACAAAATAGTTTATTTTTTTCAAACGTTCCCTTTTTCTTTTAAATATTGGGCTACATATATATAAATAACTTATACTTGAATAATAATAAATGTGATTTTCTATACCCATCTGCAAATTTTTCATTGATACATTCATTACTTTGTGTGATTTTTACCACAGAAGTTCTGATAATGAAGTCAGAATTATCTACCCACTTCATAAATGCTGTAAAATTGTTATATTTTCATGGATCTGTATTGGAGAATTGTGGTAATATCATAACTACAGTATTAAAATCTTAGCATCAGTGTTTTTGGTTAAGAATATAGGTTTTAACTTCAAAAATAAAGGTTTTTTTATAGGTTTTAAAAGACTTGAAGTATCATTTTCAATCTCGGTTAATAACTGTAATACTAAAAAGTGTATTTTACCATTTTCTCTCACATGAAGAAGTTATTTCCATAAATGGTAACCAAAACTACAGAAATAATTTAAAACTGATATATATAATGTGTTACATAATTTCATATTTAACTAACTTGATATTATGAAAATAAAATTTTGTAAGAGATTTTGATGTCAGCTCAGCATTAATACTTTGAATCTTGTAAAACAAAAAATTTTGTTTTCAAGCAAATTGTTTTTTTTTTCATACAGCAATTAATGAACCTTACAGAGAAAAGCATTTTTCAGCGTAATTTTCTTCACACTAAATTAGCATCCTTGGCCATGCTATAGAATAAGGATGTTGGACAAGACAATAAAATAGTTGGATTTCCCTCTTCTGCTATTTGTCCATGTTCCATTACTATCACCCTGAGAAAATAATAACACTATTACTGAAGAGTTCTTTTATAATAATACTTAATTAATAGTTCTTTGCTTATGGGTAGGTCAAAGGCACATGACCATCTTTTTCAAAGTTACATTCAAAAGTTAAACTACTCAATTATCAATGTACATGAATGAACTAGGCATCAAAATGTAGTTAACATAAATTACTCATTAGGGTATAGATATTACTAAGACAAAATCTAATTTTTATAGCCTTCAATATTCATTGTTTACAAGGACATAAACTAGAAATTGAGACCCACTTGCCACAAACTGCCAATGGCTCGTAGATGTTTTCTATTACACCATTTATAACCAACAGAAAGACAGTTTTACCACATGTCATATAATGCTATGGTGTTCTCATTAGGAACTTTTAGTTTTTTTGCCAGTTTCAGATAAAGTAGCTAAGGGAATTATTTTAAGGCACTTATGCCTTAGTTATAAAGCCAGTTAAATTATAATAGTTATACAACATTGTTTGCTTTGTGTAAGTTATTATTCTATGTTCTTATTTGCATTCTTCAAATAAAAATTATTTAATGTACTAGCACCATTACTACAAAAAAGTA